GTTTCAACAGCTGCCGTAAACGAACTGTCTGACAGATCGAGCTCATTTTTGGCATAGTAATTAAGGACAGTGCTGCCAAACTACATAAACTTAAAATATCGAAAAATATACAGCGCGCGAATTTTAAATGAGAATTTCCGAAAACTTTTCAGTCTTAATGTATGTGTGCTCTCACAGCATCAAGGTGAATAGCATTTTCGCAATTAACGGCTGAGTGGCTATAACCTGGCTATTGTCAAGCTACAAGGGCTCTATTAGGCATTATATTGCTGTATAAATAGCTGAAGTGCTTCATTGTGTTTACTGCAGTGTTTTGTGGTACAATTGTATATAGATTTCTGATTGCTATAATAACATATATATATATATATAGGAGAATTTTAAATATTTGTTAAAATTACAAACACATCTCCTAAAATCAGATGGAAGTGGAGAATTTCATGTCATTTACGGATCTGTGTCCATTTTCAATATAAAACGAATTTTATATTTAATTTCCTTGCTGTTATTAATTAAAAATAAATTTTTAAACAGTTTCAGACCAAGTTAGTTCAACAAGTTTTTAAAAATTATAAAAACATTTTAATATAACAATTAATAAAATAATAGGTAACCTTATTAATTATGCATTGTAGAGTTGGTAGATTCCTTTTCCTATCTCGACAACGTTATGACTACAGATGATGACGATAAAGAACAAATTTAAACTAACCTGTTTATAGCTATATCAATCTTTGTGAAACTCAGAAATATCTGGAGGATTTATTTTTTGTTACTTACAACAAAGGTATATAACATATTGTTACGTAATCGCCTTTATGCGTGTATATTCGAATCACAGGATTTTGTAAAAATGAAACAAACTTCTTAATTAACGAAACTATACTTTATTATAGTATTGTACTATTGTAGTATTAAAAAGAACTAATAATTACTAGGAACAAATTTTGGAAAACACAGCTTCACTCAAACAAATTCCCACTAACTTTTTTTTAAAATATCAATTGACATAATGATTAAATAATATTTAAACATTCCATTGTTAATCTGATCAAATTCGTAACAATATATTTAAATCCAATGTGTGATCTAATCCTTTTTACGGGTTGTGAAACTTGGTTGATAAAATTAATTAACTTGGCACCTCATGAAATTGCACAAGATTCAGATGTTTTCTCGACACTTCTATGATCCGATAATAATAGTTAAAAAGAATAAGGTTCCCACAGCATCAAATCCCTCTAATCATAGTAGATCTTTTGTACTTAAAATTTAACTTTATTTAACAAAAACAATTCAGCTTTTCGAAATAAGACCACAATGTATTTTGTTGATGAGCGATAGTCACAAAGTAGAAGACTTATTTCCTTCCAAAGACATACGCAAATATTATTTTAATAAAATTTTTATTAATATATATATTAATTGAAATATTAAGCAAACTTGCTTATGTGACAGAAATAATAAGAATCGCGATTAACTACGAATATCTACACCACATAAAAAGTCAAAATAATATGAAAAAAATATCTTCTTAAATATATTAACATATGATTAGTACACTATTGAAATACACAATATTAATATATAATCTATATTCGATCTTATATCAATTACTATTTAATTTGTTGTCATATTTTTACTTTTACTGCTTCTCACAATCTACAATATTTAAAAGTTTATGTGAGAAAGCAAAGGAAGTTTTTAACACAATAAACTGGCATCATATTTTAGGACATATGTATAAGTTAAACGAATTTACAGCAGACGAAATTATTTCCATAAAAACAGAATAAAATTACATTGAAGACGGCCTCCCGCGCGTTACGTATTTCAGAGATTCAGAGGAAGTTCTTATGTAGCGTCACAGCAACTGCGAATAAAACTTAAACAAAGTAACTGCTTTTATTATGAAAGTTTCCTACAAAAAACTGTTGACTCTGCTGTAACCAAACAAGAACTTTGGAAACGTTTGCCTTCGGGCATCCTTGACATTTAACAACACATCTTAAATTATATGCTGGCTGACTGATGACAACAGTTCATGAAAACATCAGCAGTTATTTATCTACTCAAGTCAAGTTCTTGTCTTTACTTTAGTTTCATGAACCATGCAGACATAACTTAAGCAAGCAAGCATCTATCAACACTTTATATAGTTGTGTGGTTCATCAGCTCATCAGCTTATCAGTTCATCATCTCATCACTACCACTAATGCTGCTGATAATTAAACTAAATAGAACTAATGTAACCACTTGAGTATTTAGTAATATCAGCAACATTTGTAAATACTGGCTGCGATGCAACCACATAAGTACATGTGCATGGAGTGCAAACAATTCTGCTCAAGAAGAGAAAACTTCAGACAAGGACATGGTTTCATTGGCTCAGCCCTATCTTGTATCTGAATTGTTTGCTTGTATATATTCATATCATAGTTATTTTCGCTACTATAAATATTTACACTATAAAAGTAACGAATTCCTTCGTACTAAGCATGTAAACATAAGCAACAGCAATGACACAATTCAATTTATTATATATAGTATATAGTTTATGTTCGTTCTTATCACCAGTAGTTTTCTTGCTTCAACAGTTCATTATTATTGATTATTTCTGATTAATACAATGCACGGATAAGGAACTCCTGAGTATCTTTCAAGATTTTTAAGAAATTTTATGAAAATGCATAAACTAGCACATATGTTGTATCTTTCTAGTTTCGCCTTCAAGGATATTCTTTTTAATAATACACATCACATTACACTCTATAATCACACTACATTTTTAGTCTGCAATATCAGTTGATTTCTTTATTTAAAAATAACATATTATTGGTAAATAATATTAATGAAATAAAAACAATGAATAAAGTTAACATATATAATATATATAAAGTTAACAAAAAATACTTTTCAACAAGTTTTTAGTAATTTAGACTCACAGTCTTAGTCTAGAAAGCTAAGGAGTAAAATATTCAATAAAAATATAATGAGTAGTGACTACATGTGTATATTAGAGACCTACTATACATATGTAGTATAAGAAAGGGACTTGAATGTTTCCTTAACTAAGAAAAGTTTTTATTTAAAGTCTGCTTATGTATTCGGTTTTATTAAGGAAAGATTGCATTACATATTTTAGATTGACTTAAAAGTTAAGTATTTTTTGATATATAGCACAAATTCTACCTGTTTTGTATAACAGTTAGTTACAAAAAAAAAACATAGTGCTAGAATATGCTTATTATATCTATTGGTACAGACTTTTCATTGGTTCCAATAAAAAATAATTATATTATAACTTATAGTTTTCGAATGCAAACACATAAATAATCCAGATATTTGCAGCATTACTATGACTATATCCTTACGTTTCATAAATCTTGTGGAATGCAATACTAAAGTATTGTTTTGCGTAAATTGTAGAGTAGTGCCAACAGTCAACACAGCTGGTCTTTTTGAGAATCCATATCATAAGTATTGCAATTCTATTTGTTTGTATTTATTTTGACATAAGTTGCGTTCATGTTGCATAGATTAAAACTGGAGCAATGCATAACAAATACTCGTACTCTTTTCGAATGTAGATACAAAATACCATTTGCATGATCTGAATTGTATCTACAGTTTGAGTTTTTCACAGTTTTCTTGTTTAAATTTGATTTTGTTTTTATTACAAATGCTTGCACTGCTGACGTTAATGTTGAAACTTCTTACTGATATTCTTGAGTAAATATTTTGGGAAGACACAGTGATGTAAGGATATCGCCTACAATAATAATGCGGCGCTATAGTGTTTCGATTCATAATGAGTAACATTATCCAGTGCTTCTTAACGCTGACATAT